CAATTAGTATCCAGCCAAGCCCGCATCGAGCCCATCATCGAGTGAGCAACTACAGCCTTCCAAATCACACTCCGTGCCGCCACACCAGTCTTTTGTTATGACTCGGTCGCATCTGCGCCTGCAGCAGACACTGGCATGCAAAATGTGCGCTCGTCAAGCAGACGACGACCAACAACTGGCGCTACCAGCCGTCGTCACGTGATGCACAGTCATCCCCCAAGCCCAGCAGCGTCGAGCATTGGCTGACATACTACTACTACTACTAGTACTTTCGTTCTAAATATACGTGAAGCAGTTCGTCCCTTCAAACGCAGCCATTATCAAAGGCCGCGGCGCGCCCAAAACACAGCCAGTGTCTCACCAACCAAGGCGCCCCTCCCGTCGGTGCCGTGGCCCGTCACATGTGCACCCATCAAGGAAGTGCCTTTCACCAGCAGCCCCGAAAGCATGGCATTCCCTGTTCCTCTACCTGCACTGTCTCGAATTGCTGTCGGCCCGCTTGGAGCGTTTACACTTGATCGGCCATCCTGAGTTAGAGTGCGTGGGATGTGCATCACCTTGTGCGCCCACTGTCGTCATCTGAGTGTGTCATCTTATCCAGTGGAAAACACATGACGCTACTTATAGAGGAATACGTATTAAATCGTGCAGTAATCTCCCACGTGTGAAAATCTCTGCCAAGACTTTCGATTCATCAAGCAAACCAGCTAGCTAGCCGATAATTATGGCTGTATCTACTCAAGAAATACGAATCATCTAATGCATGCGTCATCCATGTGTTCCTCCATGTAGGGGTGAAGCCATGCTCACGTCTACAGCATATCCCACTGTGTATTCCACGGTTGATTCCGCTGTGAATAATCAACACCATGCTTGTACGAACTCGTCAGCTCCTCCTGATCTATCCCGCAGTGTATTTGTCCATCCCGGCCCTGAAACCATCCCAGACCATAAGTCTTGCCATCATCCAGCTTCCTCACCATCTCGGTATTACTCAACTTTTCCGTTCCCACAAAGTCATACAGCATCTTGCTTTGATGAATATATGCCAACACGGATGAGATTGTGTTGGGCTGTCGCGGTAAGAAAGGGTGGCGTCGCCGTACAAAGACGATACAAGACACGACGCTCATGTACAAGAGGATAAACATGGCGATGCCAAAGGAAACGTAAAATGAATGAATCGTCTCTTGTCCAGAGTTGATTAGTTTGCCTCTGCCCTCATCAACATTGCCATCGCCGTTGAGTAGAAAATCCTTGCCGTCAACCGTGGCCAGACCGGTCACGAGAATGGTCAAGAACTCGGCAATGACACTGCCAAAGCCAACAAGGAACATGACTGTATGACCATTCAGGAGCGCCTTGATGGGGAGATAGCCGAACGGCATGGCCGTGTAATCCAACGTCAACAGAACTGACGGCGCATGCCTCTTGGATAGTATGTAGTAAGGCTCCATCATCCGAACGGCGGTTTCTAAAGAATTCCAGCTCATTTTGAGACAGACTGCTACAGCCGTCACAAACCAAGGCGCCTTGTCCGAGACAACATCTGCTTCAGTGAAAAGGAAAGCCGGGATGAATCCCATAAAGCCCCATAGGGCGATGGCAAATGGGATAAACCCAGCCAAACGCAACATCAACGGGTGAGGATTTTCTGATAGATGTACATCTTCATATCTCTCCCTTTCTTGCGACGTCGCTGGATTCTCATTGTCAGGCGCCAGCGATGAATTTCGCAACATGTACCGATTATACTTCAACTTTTGGTGAATATCCTTGTGCTTGGCCGTATCCATGTCTTTGAAGTCCATCAGTATGTGGCTCACAACAGCCATAGAAGCCAGACCAGCAATGCCCTGCACATCGGACAGTAACCCGGTACGTCTGCTCTGCAGCAAAAATAGCAGGCCAATGCCCGCCGCGGAGCACACAGCTAGTGTTGAAGTCAAAAGTCGTGACCATGCCGGGGAAAAATGCAGATATTTATCGTCATTTGGATGGTTCATTCTCTCCTCTCGGCTGGGTGAAAGTACAACCGACGCAGACGCAAATGTTGGAACAAGAGAAATAGCCAGGGTAGTTGCAATCGATGAAAGAGCAACAGCATAGTGTCCCAGGGTTAATGCTCGAAAGGGCCGAAAGAAACTAAAACTCGTCACATAGTCCACATTCATAGACTCCGCCGCCAACGCGCCGCCTGGCTTGGATAGTTGGTAAAATGCCTCCAGGCGTCTAACTTCAAAATCGATGAATTGCCACAACACCCCGTAAACGACGGCGGAGAGAGTAGGCGCAAATTTCACTGCAAAATAGAGGCCAGGCTTGACATCGCTGGGCTTCTGGAACTGTAACAGAGGTGTTGTCGAGTATTTTCGAAAGAGAACCTCTTGCATGACAGCCAGGGCGACAGAAAGTAAGACCATCATGGTGAGATAAGGCCATCGCATGGACCACGGTTTCCAATTTGGCTGGGGATAAAATATTTGCGTTTGCTGTCCTTTGCTGGCGACCGTACTTCGCCGGCTGTCGGGGTCCCAGAGCATGTTTGATCCTTCAAAATTGCTGAGATCGGTTGGTGCCGTCTCGAGGACAACTTGGATCACCTCTCCTCGCCGGTTGGCCTCATCCTGACCCTTGAACTGAATAGTCTCGTTTCTTGTCAAAAGTTTGGTTGATTTGCGCCGCGTAAATGATCTGGTGAGGCTCCGCTTGATTGATGTCGGGCTGGACAAAAGCTCCATGTCCCGAAGCGTGGAATCTGGTCGAAAGCCTTGACCTATTCCACCTGTAAGGTTTCCATTCGCTTCCTGTCGCTGTAGACTTCTGATAAATTCAACATCATGGGTGGTCATTGGCCCCATAGCAGATGTAATGTCGACTGCTGGCGGTACCATCTCGTCCTCTTGTACAATCATATCGTACCGTGCAATAGTGCCCATAGGCGCCGCTGATTGGAGCAGAGACAGGTCATAGCCTTCCTCCTGCATGCTCTCTGATGTAGTCTGCCTTGTCGAAGAGCGATAGCTGGGCCGGCGGGTGTTGATGGAGTGCATTCTCGTCGGCGGAGTGGCTGATATACTAGACACCGGTGCATATCCTCCGCCGTAACCAAACGAGCCAGCCCAAACAGAACCGAGCGCATAGCTGTGGCCGCCATCATCATACCCTGGGGGGTTTAATATGTCTTGTTCAAATTGTGAAGAAACAAACGAGTCCTGAGTTCGCAGCTCATGCATCCGCGAAGAACCATGGTAGTAGGCAGGATTGGTATCGCTCAACGGAGAAGCAGTTGACAATCGCCAGCCGCCATGTTGGCCCGAGGGAGCTCCTTGGCGCAAGGGTTCTTTGCCCATACGGTTATGAGCCTCCATAATCCAAAGGTATCACCATGTCGGGCAAAACAGCCAGGCCACAATCGCAAGCAAGGCTGTCTGGCGGGTCGGAGGCAGCTGCAGGAACAGTGCAACAATAGCAGGGCAAGACACGGGGAGAAGCCGATTACTAGTCGCAGACCCGAGGGTGCAGGTGTAAGTAAGACAAGCGGCGCAAACTCGTTGGGAGGGCTGCAATCAAACTCACGGGATTGTCGCAAACCCAGAAACAGGGACGTCTTGCGCGAGGACTCGGGATCAGTCGAAAGCAAGGAGTGATAGAACAAGCAACATTGAAGGCCAGGCCGAGGCGAGCTACGCGAAGGATCAACTCCGGCTCAACCGCTCGATGGGGGACCCATGGGACCTCCTGGTTCCTGGGAGACTGGAGGCAGCATTTGAGGCATGTTATCCCGATGGCCCCTCCATATTACCTAGGTATTATGGATGGCGCTTTTGATGCCCCCTGGCCTGGTTCTCAGCTCCTCAGCGGGAGGTGGGCCTTGAATGTTGCAGCCCTCTCCAATGTTAACGTGGTGGACGAGATGAAATAAAGTGGGCCAAGAAGATGATAGGGCTGGCAGTGGCCGTGAGAAATTAGAAACTGGGCAACAGCAAAGCCAAGCGCTCCTTCCTCCTGTTTGAATGTCCCAGGGAAGAAGGGGCGGTCTTGCGGGTAGTACTATAGCCAATAGCATTTCTTTGCCAAGAAACCTCGCAAAGTTAACGAGTTGGTATTTCCGCCTATGTAAAATATCAATGAAAAGACTTCCCATTCTACCGAGCACTACCTACTTCAACTACATTTATTAATACTACTACTACTGAAACATTGATCAGGCCGCAGGAAGAGCCGTCAACCATCGAGCAATAATAGCGCCACTGAACCATCAGCCGCCGTGCCACCATGTGCCACCTTGCAAGCACAGATTAGAAACTTGGCGCTTTGCCCCCAAGTTGGTCAACATGTCTGGCACTGATTGGACTGCGAATCGCATTGTTGTGGCCGAAGCAGCCAGACAGCCTCATCATTGGGCGAGTATATAAATATGCGGACATGCCACGGTACCATTGACCACGTGCCTGTATGAGGCGGCCTCTCGGTGGAATGGTGCCGTCTGGGTTGCCGCGCATGTTGGCACATTGGCACGCTTCTATCTTCCTGCCCAGCCCAATTTCAATGGTTGGTCACGAATACGTGGCGGTCGAGTCTCGGCAATAATCAAGCCACAGTCGTTGTCGACCCCTCCATTAGCTGGTACGGAGGGAGCAACTTTATATGAGCTCGGGTTGCTCAGTGCCACACCAAGATGCGAAGCGAGAGGATACAAGGCTGCGTACGTACTCTATAAAGCACCCATGACAAGATTCGCATGACCAGTCTTCTGGATAAACAACGGAGATATTATACTTCGGCACGTCTACGATATACACCTGTCGAGATAAATGCAGTCTATGAATTACTAAAGCCGGAATATATCATCCTTAAAAGCCAGCCGTAAAACGAATACTGGCTGTTTATACCACGATCTGACGCCGGTTCCCATCCATAAAAACACAGCATCGAAAGAAGTCGCTATCGCTAGAATATGCCAACATACATACATACATGAATGGTGCCTAATGACGTCAAAGGCTAGCGACTGCCATCGCCGCAACGGATATCCAGAGACTTTGAACAATGATGCGTGATGCCGCAGAAGGCTGACCGCAAGGCTTGCTGTAATCGTAAGTGACGTTGTTCACCGCCGCGGCAGCCGCGAATACCGAACAGGGCTTCGGTGAGCCATAGTTGTAATAGTCAACGTTGAGGATGTTTGGTGCCCGTCCCCAGTCTGAACGGCAGTTATTCGCCGCCAGCCCGACACTCCCAGTACCATTGAAGCCGTTTGTTTCGTTGAGCAGAGACACTGCCGGAACAAGTAGCTGGACGCCAAATACGTTAAACTCGACGTTGAGGTTGTGATTCATAAGATACATCCTGTCCATGGCCGCTTCCCTTGGCAAGTCAGGCGGACGCTGCACAGTGCAAGGAAACGCGCGATCCTGCGGGTCGAATGGCGTCTCCCACATCTGGGAGAACTGGTCCAGCAGCCAAGGATACTTGGTTTGGTTGGCCTGATAGTCCAAGAACATGACGACTCGTTTACCCCGGATGATCATGTCCTCCAAGGTGGGCCAGTCGTTGAGGGCCATGGGAAGAAACGGCGCATTGTAAACATACTTTGTGATGCCGGATCGCTCTATAAAGGGGACGTACAGTGAGGGATCTGAATAGTTGCCATTGCCGAGCAAGATGGTCACAACATCGTACGGGTGGGCGTCAACCCAATCGGCAACTTGGCCCAGCCAGTTGTAGATGGGACCGGCATCCAACAAGTCACAAGAGGTGTGGCAAAAATGAGGAGTTGACGAGTTTGGAGGCCACTGGATCTGAGCTTGGAGAAAGCGAACACCGTCATCCAGCTGAGTCAAGACGTCCACCTCCTGATTGGAACCGCTGTTTCCGGGCCGGACGAAGGGCGAGTTGTGACATCCAACATTGGTGATGTTGCTGTACCTTCGTGTGCAAAGCTCGACGTGGTTGTTACAAGGCTGTGTGTTTGTAGGTGCCGAAGACGTGGTGGTGGTGAAATTGGCACCTGTTGTCATGGTTCCGCTCGAGGAGGTCACGGCGGTCGTCGAGCTATTGGCCCCGGTGAGCGTGATTTTGGAGCCATATGACTGATAAGGCCCAGTAGGAGGACCGGTCTGAAAAGATGGTCGTTCTGTTCTTGTTCCGGTGAGAAAGGTGAGCTCTGACGTTGCCGAATACGATACTGTTTGAGACACAGCTCCGGGCGTCAGCAACCCTAATGCGCTGAAGGCTGCCGCCGCCGTCGACAGCCTCATTATAAACGTATGAACGCGGAAACCAGGAGCAGCTATTGTGCTATATTCGGGTTCTCAGCTTTGCGGAGCGCGTCAAGAAACGAAGTGCGAAATGTAAGTCTTATGCACCAAGCCTGTATAAATGAGGCGTTTTTGACAAGAAATTCAAAGCAGAACCCCAATGAACAAAGGAACAGGAAAAAGCTTTCGATGAGGAAGAGGTAAAAAAAAAAAAAAGTGATGCCGTCAGTCGCCAGGAACCTCTCCGATCGACGTTGGGCAACAAACCAGATGGTTAGATGGGTTCTAGCTGCATAAACCAATGGACTAACGGCGCCGCACAGCCAACCTGAGATTTTGTCCCACTGGCGATGACACCACCCCAGACACACTTTCCATGTCCCGTTGGCAGAGCAAGACTGGGAATGGGTTCTTGGCCGGCAGACCCAAGAGGCACCTTCAGGATGGTGAGATGGGGGCAATGATGTTTATCCTGGGTTGATGGAGAGCTACGTACTACATCCGTACTTGCTACTAGCAGGAATGGAACAAACCTAGCGTCTAGGGTCAAGGAAAGGACATCAGCATCGAGTTTCTGGAGCGGCTCGCCAGGCAAACGCCAAGCAGCTGAGTGTCAAAGTACTACTAGTGCATTGACAAGCCTTAGTCTTCAAGGTCTCTGCACCTCTGCACAGCCTTCTTCGGCGGCAACGAGTATCCGTCGATCAATCAATTCGATGGCTCGTGCATGAGTTGACAAACCTTGGGTCACAGTATTCTTGGTACGGAGCCAAGCCGGACGGTGGACGGCGCGTCATGCTTCTCACACTTGCAAATTGATACTAATAAATTAAAACAAGCAAAAGATACCCGTCAGCGACTAAGAACCGTGCGAGCTAGAGCTGATGCTTGGCTGGGTGCTTTTCGTGGACACGCGTGGGTCGTGATGGAGAAGCAGAAGCAGAGGCGCAATGTATGACCTCACTTCCGATAATAAGAGAGCGAGCAAAACGCCTCTCCCCCTTTTCGTCAATCTTGCACGCCAGAGCCAGTGGTCCCACCTGAAATTTGTTCTCCGCGACTCGCACACTGGTCTGGTCGATGGCGACAGAAGTCCGGCTTGGCTTTGTGAACAAGCAACGATGCAGTGGAACTCTGGTCCACTGAGCACGAAACGGTGGCGATCCAACGCCGGGTGGAGGAGGAAAACGGCTTCGTGGCAGTCAGGACTCAGTATGTACTACCAGTCGTGTTGACGGCTGTAGTGACGGGTTCGTTGAGTTTGACGCGGAAGAGAAACGCGCGTCAGCACCCATCCGGCTTTCAAGGATGAGCATCTTGGCCCATGATGGTGTTTTGGCGGCAGACATGTCCCGGAATGCGTGCCGTTGTCCTCCTACGCCAGCGACAAGGTTGGAGAGAGTTCAATGTTGCTATTTACGGGGCTTGGGCTGCCGGGCTGCCGCGTAGCTATGCCCGAATAATATCCCGGCGCGACTGCGCATGAGCGATCGATAGTCTTGCAGCCCAGACGCGCAGAATGGGGACGAGGATGCCCTGGCCAGGCGCATTGCCAGGTGGAGCGGTCCACTGGCCTTTGGAACCAGCGTGAAGCTACCGAGTAAGTGATGCTGGTGGTGAGTCCACTTGGTCGCTGACGGGTTGTATCGACTGTTGATGACCTCTGGAGCTGGTGTTGTGGGCTCCAGCCAATGCCAATGTCAACTGGTGCAGTCAGACATCAATGCTACACTACAGTCTGGTGCTACCTTACAACATGGGAAGCTGCTTGTCTTGGCCGTCTCATCGCCAGCGTCTCTCTCCCACGTCTGGTATCTGCCGCCGGCCGTCTCGCCGACGACGTCACCTCTACCCATCTGCTCCGTCCAAACCCTCCTCAACTTTCTATACCCCAGCATCTCCATGCCAATTTCGTCGTGTCGATAGCATCGAATCAGTGGGTGAAGGGCTACGGCACCGTCGTCTCACCACCAGCACTCTGTTCCCAAGGGGTGGGATTCGACGCCATCCAACGCCCAAGTCCAACATGGCCGCGCCCAAAGCCCGCCGCAACACCACCATCATCGCCGCGCTGTTGTACCTCATCTCTATACCATTCCTCATCCTCACCCTCATCGGTAATACGCACGATAGGCCCGTCTTGCGAGACACCTACTTCTTCAAGCTAGACGTTGCCCAAATCATCCCCATTGCCGTAGCAAACTCGGGGCTGCTCAACTCTGTAGCCAGGAGTTTGGGACTGCACGACTTCTACCAAGTCGGTGTTTGGAATTTCTGCGAGGGATACAACGATGTGTATGTCCATTTTTCATCCGCGCCGCCTCCCTGGGCTCGTGTGCTAACCTGACCCGAAAGCGGCATCACGTATTGCTCGCCGCCCAGGACATTCTACTGGTTCAACCCAGTCCAGATTCTCGTCAGCGAGCTTCTCGCCGGCGCCAAGATTGCCCTGCCCTCCGAGGTCCTGACCATCCTGCGGCTGCTCGAAATCGGATCCAAGGTCATGTACGCCTTCTTCATGGCCGGCACCGTCATCAACCTCGTGCTGCTGCTGGGCACGCCGCTGGTCATGCGGACGCGGTGGTTCTCGCTGTTCCTCTCCCTGCTCGGCGGCCTCTCGGGTCTCGTCCTCACCGTCGCCGCCATCATCGCCACCGTCATCAGCGTCGCCGCCAAGATTGCCCTCACGGCCCAGGACCAGCTCAACATCAAGGCCAACATCGGCGTCAAAATGTTTGCCTTTATGTGGATTGGAGCCCTGGCCACCGACTTTGCCTTCTTGCTCCACGCCGCCATGGGCTGCTGCTGCAAGCCCGTTCGCGGCGGCGGCGGCAAGTCGCCCAACGAGCCATCACCCGAGGGCAGCGCGAAAAAGCCAATGACACACCTTGAACTGCCTAGTTTTATAAGACGGCGAAAGGGGGCTTCCCCTGCGTCATAGCACTTGACCATACATTGTCTGTTTTTTTTTAGCTGCTCACATAACTTGGCGCCCCAGGATGAAGAGCTTGGATAAAGCCATCATGATTTGCACACTGGTTTTTTTTTTTAATCGCCGGCCCTCAGCGTCGTACGTACACTAGAATACAAGGAAACGTAATATAAACTATATAAGCTGTAAGACAGTTCTCTGGCTTGTACAAGACATATATCCACAATACGTTGCATCGCAATGCTGTCTCTAACTCTCCTTGGCTGCCTTGGCAATAGTCACAACTATGAATTACCACGCACACTTGGCCACCTGCCCAGCATTGCACCACACACTAAGCGGCAGATGGCAATTTTCAACAGTAAATAAAACATGTCATGGCACACATGGAGCTGCGATACCACGAAGCACGGCAGTCCGACACAAGTGCAAAAACTTGACTAAATATAGCGAGAACAAAATCCTAGCTAAAAAAAAACCAGAGAATTCTAAAAAACCATATTTATTTATTCAATTACACTAGCTAGCTCGTAAAGCCCTAGTACTCTACGGTTAATACTTATAGGAAAAAACATATGAAAGCCTACACATATTAAAAAAAAGATGTAGAATCTATCAAAAATGTGAGGGACAAAAACACCCCTGATGGGCACGGTTTTGATCCATGCCGACACCCGAGATACCCAACACGACATTCATGCATGAAATTCTTGTCCCTTAGACGCCTCCCCCCTGTGGCGCGACTGTGCCTCCGGATCGGGTTTCTTATAAGTCCCATCAGACGAAGACTCCAAGGTCGTTTTCCTCATGCCGATGATTTTGCCGCCCAGGGGGCCGCACTTCCTCACGCCAAGGCACTTGTTTATAGTCATGGCCATGGCCTTGAGCGAGTTGTCGTGGATGGCATCCATGGTGATCCAGTTGGGATACATGTGGTCCGTGAGGGCGTCCCAGAACTGGTAGTACAGAGTCCTCCACGCGACGCCCGCGAGGGTGATGATGGATATTCGCGGGATCACGACGCCCTGGCCCGACTGGGTGATGAGCCAGTCCATGTTGTACAGCTCCGAGGAGCGCGAGCGGCGGGCCTCTATCAGCCGGGCGACCTGGTCCTTCACGAGCGTCTGGTACTCGTTGGTGTTTGACCAGTGCGAATTGAGCGGCAGGCTGTCGCCCGTGACGAAGCCCTCCTTGCGGCCCGGGAAGTGCTTCATGCTGGCCCACGACGTGGGCACGCGCACGATCAGGCACGACTTGCCCTGCCTGCTGACATTGCTGTTGATGAACCAGTTGAGAGGGCGCCTGGAGATGTCCGTGACGTTGGACACGTCCGCGCGGTGGTTGAGGCGCCGGAGGTCGTCGTACAACTTTTGGCGGCCCTCGTCGTTGAGCGGCTTAAACTTCCTGTCACCGTCGCGCGTGTCTGTGTCGTGGATGTCCCAGATGAACATCTCGCCGGGGTGGTCCGCCATGAACTTGTTCTGCATGTCCACCATCTCCTCGAGGCTGGCGCCCAGCACGCCATGAAATATGTTGGCGACCACGGAACCGTGATGCTCGTAGAACTTGCCCCTCTTGAGGCCTGGCCGGACGTCGAGGACTCTGATGCCGCCCCTATCGAGCTGTTCGTAAAGCGTGAATTGCTGTGTTTGAGTATTGAAGGCCGACCCCCAACCGAAGTGATCCTGGCTCTTCCACTGCCCGGCATGGTGAGAGCGAGGCATGGCAATTTCGCGTAGCGGCAGGTGCCCAATCTCGGGAAGCTGGGCCTGCATCCAAGTCGAGGGCCCGTCGTTGGAAATAAAGTCGCCCTCGACGCCGGCAAGAATGAAGCCGCTGCCACCCGAGCGTGGCAAGAATCCGAGATTGTAGGTCGTGTTCCTCTTGCTGTAGATTGTCTCCAGGTTCTCCAATAACTGAACGGCAACTGTGTGTTGCCGCCCAGCGAGGTACTGAACTTGTAGAGACATGGGCTTGCTGGTTCCTTCGATACGGTATGTCGCCTCGCCAGCGGTATCGGTCATGAGATGCTTGCTAGTCTTGACCGAGACGCTGGTAGCTTTCCCTGGCTCAATGTACTCGGGCCATTCCTTCTCCCATTGCCACAGCTGGTAGGAGTGGTTATAAGTTTTAAGCCAGCGGTAAGGCGTGGCGTTAATAAGGCCAATGTGCGTTTCGTTGTAGCGTTCCAACTGGAAGAGGACCTGACGAGCTTCGAGATCGCGGGCATCGAGTGTCCTGTTGGTGGCGGACATGTCTCTTGCAGTGGCAGCAAGTCCAAGGATGGCGTTGGCAGCCTTGACGATTGCAGCCATTTTGCAAAGTGATTATTCAAGGAAAACCCTTAGAAGAGTGGGCTAGTAAAATGCCTTGAAGAGTAGTTGTGTGTCGGTTTGATACAGAGGCAGATTTGGACTCCGAGACTGTTTGCTTGATTTAAGAGAGCGACAAGTGATTTTGAGAAAGGTTCAGGGCGTGACTATTGGGAGATGGACGAGAACATGGGTATTTATCTTGGAAGAGAAAGGGGGTTTGGTTCCTGTAACAACTCTGAGGAAGTCATGGTGGCCGCCTAGCTTAGGCTATGCACAATAGAGTTGCATAGACCGGTGGCTTGCGCTTAGATCTGAGGTCAAGTTTTGTATGGAAGAGTCGGCGGGACTTCTGGCCGGGTACATCCAACAAAATATCCATCGTCAACTAACGAACATACCTCTGAGTCCTTGACTTTGAGTCTAGTTAGTTCGTGGCGGCCAGGGGCGGCTTTAGCCCCTGCCTTCCTCGATATAAGTTTAAGCCTGAAGATCCGTTGTTCTATCGGCGAACCCTAAATCTTTTGAAATGTTCCCAAACGCACGAGGTTTCCAAGCTATCGAAGAGGGACCCATGTGTATCCGGTGTTGCAGTTCGAGGTTCAGTATTCTGGTATAAGAGGACAAGCCGACTCTTAAGCGCCGGCTTTGTACGTCGCATTGTAAAGCCAGTGAGGCAAGGCTACTGAAGTTTAATATTGTGCTAGGGGCATTGGCTGTGTGCTGCCAGATTACTCAACGTGGGCAACAAGGCAGCTTATGTTTTTATCAGCTCTCGGGGCAACCAAGCAGAGGAGATGCACCAAAGCAAATCTCGTAAAATCGTCGTGATTATTAACATCGTACCAACGTTATGCAGTAAATGCAGTGTTCCTGAAAGGGGCCAATATTAGTCCACTGCCGAACATAATGGCCTTTTGACTCTAATCGCATCAACACACAAACCCATCTATGCCCTCAACTCCGTTCGTGCAGGAAACAGTCTCAAGCATGTGGCACAATGCCGGCCATTAAATCTTCATCCTCTATTTGAGAATCAAACCCAATGCCGGCATCCGTATTATCCTTTTCTGCCCGCTTCTGGTCCTTGACAAGATGCTTGACATATTCCTTGCTTCCACTCAGTCGGTCATTCATCAGTTGGTATTGCCTGCCAAGCAAGTCAATAGTGGAGTGGCTCTTTGCGATTTGTGTAGCAAACTCTGCTTCAGACAGTACATCCCTGTTCTCTCGGAATGATATGTAGTTTTCGCTGCCGTCCTGTTCAATTTGCCCATCCAGCATGCCTGACTCAATCATACCGCCGACTAACGAGAGGACCTCTCCGTCATTGGCCAACGGCCTTCCTGTCAATGCATTGAGAGTCATCTCTCGGACTTGCGATATTTCAACTCGTTGATATACTTGGCGTAATCCAATTATCTGCCATTTTTGATACGATGAGAGTATCTCAGTAAGGAGATTGCTCGTCCCATCTTCTTCCCAGAGTGTCGCATTTTCCTCAATTAGGGACTTGAGCTTCGCTGCATCGCCGCTGCAGAAGGCTTCCGCTATGGCAACATATGACCCTCCTGTAATCTTATAAGACGAGATGGCGGATGCTGATGTGTAGCTGGGGACTGTCGGAATTTTGCCCTGGCTTAAAAGTCCTACCAAGATCCATCGCTTGTGACTTTCTACCATAATTTTGCTCACACCTCCTATCCTGGATGGATGGGATATCACCTGTTCCAACACTATTTCGGCTTTGGACCACAGCCCCATAGACATGTAGGCAAGTCCGCGAATGTAGTCGTATTCCAAGACGGCCGATTGCTTGACATTGTTTGTCAATCCTGTTTGCGTTGAAATGTACGATTCCGGCGCTAGATTCGGCTCACACAATAGTCTACCGTCTTTGGAGTGGCTCATATCAGGATAGAAGAGGATGTCACGATCAAAGACTTCCAAAGCGGCGTCAACGGCATTTGAACTGTATGCGAGCTTGGCCAAGAGGAGATGCGTGGAGGTAAAGAAGGTTCCGCTCGGGTCGATGCGCAGCACGGCACTCGATAGCAATGCCACAGCTGTAGCGGGCTGGAACCATGTCAGCTGGCTCGAATGTTGGACAGTGTCAATTGGTCTTACCGGGAAGAGCCTGCCGCTCCCTATTTTCTCAAGAAGTGAAAGCATAGAGTGCCCATAGTACCGAATTTGTATGGCATCAAAATGCAGAACAAACTCTACTACCTTGTCAAGCAGAGTTGCTTGTGAAATCGGGGTCGCGGGATCGGCTAGTTGGAGAAGGATATCCAGAACGACGAGGTAGCCGATCGAGTGTACCGCGGGGTCAAGAGTCTGTCAATGTGTCAGAATTGGAGAGGAAATAGTCATCTCGTTTCGGAAGAAAAATGGCATGACATACTTCAAGCAAATTTTCTGGGTTGCTCAAGACAGCACGTCGTATTTCGGCAAAAACATTGGTCAGTGTGGCTACATGTTGCCTAATGGAGATGTCATATGCCTTGGCAGCGGAATTTGTAGAAGGCTTAGTGACAGGAAGTGCTGTCAAAATGCCATGGACGTGATCCATGGCTTGTATGTGTCGAACCCAGAGAAGGTCGGGCGATGGCGGTTTCAGCAGGCAAAGGTCGTCGGGTTGAGGGCGAGCTGGAGGGGTCGTGCCGCTGAGCGTCAAATCAGTAGCACGACGACTTCATGCTAGGGTCCAGGCAGGGTCCTTGATCCGTTGTAGATGCACGCCGACATGCGCAATACTGATGCTGATGATTCTGAGCAAGAAGACGTATTGTTTTTGTGCAGGAACAGATGCTTGGACGAATGTGGCTGCCAGGTACATATGCAGGAAGTCGTGCGAGAAGGAACATTGAAGCTGTCTGGTGGTCCTTTACCCCGTATTGTAGAGCTTGGTGGTTGGTGATTGGACGATGGATTGAAACAGACAGTGGGGTAATTAGCACCAAGTACTTGTGTACGGAGGACTAATATTGACCATAGAAGCTGGCACTTGGGCACGCTGTGAGAGCAACAGTGAACATTGGAGTATTAAGGGTGCATATACCTACTACCTTAGGTACCTAAGTACCTAGTAGGTACTCCGTACAGTACTTAAGGTAGGCACCTAGGGTAGGTCTCTGGCCTCTGACATCTGGAACTCAAAACTTCGAAACTTCAAGAGCTTCATCCCGAGTACAGAACATCAGCGCTAGGTGTTCCCCTGAAATCAAGCACAACGTCAACAACCACACTGCCAGGCTAGGTCTGAATCAGTCCTTACCGCTACCACCCGTCAGACGGCAGGGCACAACATCTGGGGCACCATTTCTCCGGACGCAGGCAAGGCAGACACAGCCCTGTCAGCTAGTTCCAGCCCCCAACACCCCTTCAACAAACATCATTCGAAGGCGACAAGGTTGACAGTGATGAGTCTATCCAGGGCTGTCTCCAATGAACCGTTGGAATACCAAACGGCATCCACAACGTCAATCTCAAGGCCTGCGTTTGCCAGACTGATGGGCTTAGAGCAAGGGCAACAGTAATCCAACATACCCTTTTCAACGGCAGGTGAGCGAGTAATCAATCCCACCATCACCACCGCCAGCAAGCCTCTGCCGACGATCCGTGGCTGAATCTTCCAGCCCTGCAAACCAGTTCACCTTTTTCATTTGATAGTACTCCGTACTCCTATCAGCATCAACCACGCGATGCAGCCCCGCTAATTGTCTCAGCAGATCTCTGTCTCTTAATCTACGGAGTAGTTCTTAATAGCAAAATAAGCCAGACCGTGTGCGTGCATTTGAATAAGCACAGATACGAAAAACGAATTCCCGCGCCCAGCCTCACTGCTGGTGACAGGTCATTCGACGTGTGTGAAATTAAGGCTGAATCGAATCGATGCATAAAGGGCGAGATCCAGTTGCTCATCATGTAGAAACTCGGGGACTTGGTCTTCATCCTCTTTAGCCTTTTACTCCCGTTGTCCAGCCCTACACGAAGCCAATTCTTAGCATCAAGCCCTTTGCCCATCTCGGTGTTCTGTATCCCGTTGCCATTCTGGCTGTCCCTGACGACCCATGCTCCACCGTCAATGGCTACGGAGATGACTGCATCTGTGTTACCACTGAAATCTGCCAGCAGTACGAGGGCAACGCCATGACTGGACCTCGAGGCAAATACCCTTGCCCAAATGACCCAGCAAATGTCATTGGTTGTGTAGCCAAGCCCTGCCACAACAGGAGCAGTAACACGCAGTGCCTCTGGAGGAATGCATGTGATAGTGAAATGAAAGGTATTTATCGCCTACCGCCTTGTGAATATTCCTGAAGCCCTTTGTTACATGGCTAATAAGACGTCAAGTCGCTTCTTGCCCCGGCGGCAACGACTTCATCTGCTGCAACCATCATCTCGATACCGCCGGTCACTCGAATTCTACTACAACTAGTTCTGCCATCACCATCACCAGCTCCGGAGACGCCCAGACTTCCACGGCTGCTACCACAACAAAGAACAAGGTTTCTATTACAATTACGGGCAGTTTAGAGACGACAACACCCATAGCTTCGTTGACTTCTGCCCTGAATACGTCAACCGCATCCCCTGCTGGGTCGTCACACGCCACTTCTCTTGCCACTACTACCTCCCGTGCCGCAGGCACCTCGAATGTTGTTGCTATTTCAGACCTTTTGGGCGGCCTGGCCGCAGTGTTTGCTGCCTTGCTATACAATCAAACCCGATTTGGGTTCCACAGGGTGCTCAAAAAGCAGCATGCAGCTAGCTGTCTCTAAGTGAAGGCGAGAATAATAGTAATGATATCGAGAATGAAATGAGCTTTGGGAGAAGAAGCTCATATACCTAAGTATATAAAAACTGTTTATATCGCAGTAGCACGTGCATACCAAACTCGCATCATATCAACCAGTTGGCGGCGAGGCATGAAACAAAATCTGCCTCAAAGAAATCCACGTAGCATTTCCGCACAGCATCAACACATGTCCAATCACCAT